CTTCCCCGTCCACAGCAGAGCTGGGGAGGTCTCCGGCCGGGAGACCCTGGGGTGAAGGTTGAGCTGATGCGCCGCGTACCGAACCGCAAACGGCCACAGAAAATGGGGGGCAGCCGCATGCATCATGGACGTACGAGCGACGTCCATGACCATGCCAATGCGGCGCTCAGCAATCCCATTTTGCTGTGGAGAGTCCGGAAGCGTAAAGATCTGGCGGATCCCCCGTGCACAACTGTAGGCCCGGAGAAGGCCAGAGGAGAACTCCCCACCTCGGTCAGAGTGCAGACGCAGAACAGAAAAGTCCGAGCCGAAGCTCCTCCTGAGCTGGAGACGAGCTGCGCGGATCCAGTCGATCAGCACCTCAGTGACATCACCCTTGTTGCGCAAGGGGAAGACTGTGGTGTAACGCGAGTAGTCGTCAACCACCAGCAGGAAGTAGCGCTCGTGACCCTGCCCACGGACGCGGGCCGGGCCCCACACGTCTATGTGAAGTGTCTGCAGAGGAGCCTCTGTCGGGGGAAACTGGGAGGAGAGTGAGGAGCAGCCCGGAAGCGCCCCTCGATGTCAGAATCCCAACCACTAGACCATTGGGATAAAAGGGCTTGTTTCAGTAGCGGGTCAGTGCGCCCATAACCCCCTAGGCGAACGCGCCTGTAACCCTCTCCAAGATCAATCGGGCATCCACAGTGCAGATCTACTGACACTCGACACAGGGGACACAGGAAGGTCCTGGTCCCAAAGGAAGGGGAGGGAGAGACCGGGGGAGACCAGAGACAAGGACACGGGAAGCCATGCCCCGAAGACGAGGCAAGGAGGGGTGGCCAAGACGGTGGTGCCACAGGAGAGTCTCGTGAGACAGGAGGCGACACGAACAGGGGGCAGACTCAGGACCAGACCGGGACGCAGCAACAAACACCTGACCCGACGCAGCTACCTGGCCAGACGCAGGGACAGGAGGAGACTCAGTGGTCAGGGTGTAGAGGCACGACCGTGGCCGACGCGAGAACGTGGCCAGGTGCCGGCCTGTGCGTGCGTCCGTGCAGTGGGTCACCCGCTGACTCGCAGGAGTAAACTGGTGAACCCCCGCATCCTGCAGGTCAGCACCACTCACCAAATTCGTCGAGAACGAGGAGAGGTACAGACCAGACAGGGTGCCCGAGGGGGCAGCCGGACACGGGAGGACAGTGGAGAAATGAGAGAGGACAGGACCCCCAGAGGGGTCAGCCAGGGAGACCGCAACCAGCCGACCAAGCGGCGTGAGTGTGGTGCGGTCTCGAAAGAAGGAGCGAGAAGCCCCTGAGTCAAGTGTGAAAGTGAGGGAGGCCGAAGCCGACGCAGTACCTGGGAGCGCAGCCTCACCAGTACGTGAGAGCGCAGACGCACTGGCACCTAGAGCAGCAGCCTCACAAGCACCTTGCGCAGCAGTACCAATGCCCGGGTCGGGCGGGAAACACCGGTAACAGTCACCCTCCTCACTAATAGTCACAGCATACATGGCAGCAAGGATAGCATCAAAGTCAAGATCAAAGATAGCTACACCAGCCCTAGACAGCTCTCCTCAGCGGGGAATCTCACTAGCCTCGGGGAACTGCTGACGCCAAGCGTCCGTCAGGCGGCCAAAGCAGCGCTGGGTGGGGTGGGCACCCCCACACTGCTCACCCGCGCGGTCGCCGGAACGAAGGACGTAGGCGCACGGACCAGTACCCCCACCCCTCTGACGCTGCGTGTACCACTCACGGAGCTGCTGGGGCGGCGGGATGTCCCGCGAACGCTGCTGCTGCTGCTGGCGCTGACCACTACCAGAGCCGCTCCGCTGCGGGGCACCACCCCGACCAGCTCCACCCCCTCCGCCACCGCCGCCTCCACCTCCGCCACCACCGCCGCCTCCACTCCCACCGCTGCCGCCGCCACCGCCGCCTCCTCCGCCGCTGCCACCACCACCACCGCCTCCGCCACTACTCCCACCGCCACCCCCACTCCCTCCGCCGCCTCCACCGCCACCTCCACCGCCCCCTCCAGCTCCACCCGCGCCCTTACCCCCCTTGCCCTTGCCAGGGCAGCGTCTCCCGCTAGGGTCAGACGCCGCGCCGACCGACTCAAGACCAAGCAGGTCGGCACCAGCAGCAGAGGCAACAGAGGGCAGTAGGGGGGAAGGAGAACACCCCTCAAAGATGGGGGTGCGAGGGTCACCACGAGAGGCTGCGACAGCGACGATGCTCTTCTCCGCCGCTAGGAGGGCCTTCTCGAGGAGGTCGACAGTGAGAGTGGTGGGACAGACTGAGAGGAAGTGGTCCCTGACTACGCGAAGGGAGTCAGGGAGGCGTGTGACTATGTAGTAGAGAGTAATGTACATGGGGGGGGGGGTTCTTGGCGCAGAACTCAGCAGGAAGGGTGGCGCGGTAGCGAGTGTCACTAGTGCGGAGGTGCGTAATGAGGTCAGCGACAGTGGGAAAGGCAGTGAGATCAGGAAAGAGGTACGGTAGCATGAGACGGCTCAGTGCAGCAGTGGCAGGGGAAGAGTAGCGCGCAACTACAGCGTCGTCTGAGCACTCTTGTACTGACTAAAGTGCGCGCGCTCAGTGGTGGGCAAGTGGCGACGCACAGCAAGACGTGCAGCAGCATCGCGGGTGGCCCACTGAGAGCGAACAGTGGGGTCAGCATCAGCAGCAGGGGCAGGAGAGGCGCCAGAGGTGAGGTCAAAGAGGGAAAGGCCGTCCGCCCTATCGCACTGTAAGAACAGCTGCAGGTCGTCGACCCAGACCTCAAAGTCAATGGCTCGACCCTCAGCGTCAAAAGCGAGGACACTAGGGGTAGCCATGACGACGACAGTGGAGCACTGCAAGCAGTAGGGGAAGGGCACGCAGTGACAGCGGTACGGTGCTCACCGGGCAGGGCAGGTCGGGCGGCTCGGCAGGAGGGCGGCTTGGCGACTCGGCGGCTCGACTGCTGGGCGGCTCGGCTCCCGGGCGGCTCGGCGGCAGGGCGGCTCGGGTGCAGGGCGGCTCGGGTGCAGGGCGGCTCGGGGGCGGGGCGGCTCGGCTGCCGGGCGGCTCGGGTGCAGGGCGGCTCGGGGACGGGGCGGCTCGGCTGCACTGCGGCTCGGTGGTCCGGTGCGGCGGCTGCTGCTGGGCGACTCGGCTGCTCCGGTACCGGGCGGCGTGGCGGTCGGCTGCGTGGGCGGCAGGGCCGCGTAGGTTAGGGCGGCGAGGCCGCGTAGGTGAAGGTGGCGGGGCCGCGTAGGTGAAGGCGGCGGGGCCGCTCAGGTGAGCGCCTCTGCCCTCGTAAGTCACTGCTCGGGGTGGTTCACTCCCAGGTGCAGTGAGCAGATGCATGTGCCGGAGGGTCCCTGACGAGAAGCATCGCAACACACAGACGCCGGTTCTGTTCTGTTAGAACGTTATGTAGCTTATGCTGTTGTGTAGGCTATAGTGGGGTATCCCATAGGGGGTACAACCCGATTAGAGTTTCCTATATGTACTCACTGCTTCGAGCCGCACTACAGCGCGTGGCGCAGCAGCACCGTGTCCTCCTGCCGTGAGAGCGCGGGAGGAAATGGAAGTCTGAGTACACATAGGGTGCGTCAGCAGCGTGAGTACACATGGGGTGAGTCAGCAGCGTGAGTACCTGGGGTGAGTCAGCAGCGTGAGTACACATGGGGTGAGTCAGCAGCGTGAGTACACACGGGGTGCGTCAGCATCGGCAGAACTTGTTGCTCAAGTCGACATGAAGCCGGCCCACCCTGACGTTGAATCGCTGGCGTGAGCAGCAGCTAAGGGTACACTCGGTTCTGTTAACCTAGCCTACCATCATGCATTGTTTGGACGAATGGACGACCGCATACATTTACTAAAACCCGCCAACCGGTACGATTTTACTAGCTTCTCTCCCTCTCCACTCACCTCTCAGGACCACGGCTGCAAAGAGGAAGTAGATCCAGCTTCTGTAGCTTCAGAAGAATGCGGCATACTACTAAATGGAATCAGTAGTTCTGCCAGTAATCAGGAATCAGCAATTGTCGCGAGGGCCTTCCTAATAAGGTCCACCCGACAATAGCTTCGCAACTCGAATGCGGAAACTGCTGAGCGAGCTTTACTCCTGCCAAGAGTAAAATAAAGACACTCGAAATGGACGGGGAGACCTCTCCGACTCGGAATCGGGCCTTCAGCTCGTACTGTAGTAGAGAGGTGACTTTTGAGTCGATTCAAAAGTCATGCCGTAATTATCAGCCAGGCATACAGCGTGGTCCAGCCAGGAGTCAAAATCCAAGCGAAGGGGCTCGGATTCACTTCCGGCGACCGAGGAGGGGGAACAAACACATGGGACAACGGAATGTTGGTCCACACCACGCTTCAAAGAGCGCCAACGGAAACCTGCGGGGCCCAGGTAGTTTTGAAGTCAAGGTGGGGACCAACAAAAGATGAGCAAAGAAAGGACCGGGGCAATGGGAGGAGATACAGTAGCTTGCACCGAACAACCTTCACAAAAACTGAAGAACTTCTTCGCAGGCATCTTGGCGACGGTACACAGTCTGCTGCCAACTCGCGTCAGTGTGTCCTCCTAGCTAGCATTCGGAAACGACGAGACATGTGAAGAGGCATACTTCACTCATCCACAACGTTTCGTGGGGTTTGCGAATGATGAGCATTCTCGAGAAGCACCCATAGACAGCAGCTGCCAGCTCATATCTTGCGTTGTACGAAATGAAATGAACGTTGAGCCAAAGACGAGAGGAATTTCGGCTGAAAGGGACAACGCTATCAGGACCAGGCTATGAATTTCTCAGGCTATTATGCGCCCTGACATCCCATCACAAAGTTTCATCCTACCTCATTACCTTGGATCATCGTACATCATTTGCTGCCTCTGATATACTTGATACAAGACACAATCCTGCTTTCTACAAGCAGCTCACCTTGGCACTAACTCAAGAGTAATTGTACAGCAATAACAAGAGTCAAAGTAACCCAGATGTATACTAACACGTACATTTGCACTTTTTCCTACAAATGCTTGTCAAATTGCGACCCATGCCTTTGTTCCAGAGGTCTAGTGTGCTTATGGGGCCACCACCTCAGCTGCCAAGCATGCCCAACATTCCCCCTTTCACTGATGTTTTCTCCATCACCCTCCCTGTAAACCTCCTCCTTCCCACCACCCCCTTCGGCCGAGCAGCCCTCCACCACCTCATTCACCGTCGCTTCACCCACCGCCCACATCACCACAGCACGCCGCCTGTACTCATCCATAGCCTTTGAGGAAGCTTCCTCCGGAGGTCCACTTTCCCCGTGCTCCGAACCTCCCCGAGCTGACCCAGTCTGGGCTTTCGCAGTCTTCATGGCCTCTTCTCTTTCCGAAAGCTCCTTCTCTTCACCCAGCTCTTGGGATAGGTACTGCTCACACTCCCCTTCGTCCCACGCGGGCGGGGAGGCAAGCAGGTAGGCTGCCGACAGACCAAGCCCTCCGCCCTCAGAGACAATCTCGGTTTCGTGATTATCACCAGTTTTGACAATCTCCCTCGTCAGTGTCGCACTCGAGCCAGCGGCGCCAGATGAAGCGTGCAGCAGGTCTGCTTCCCACGGCGAGAGGGGGACATCCAAGCCTAGGCCAGCCAGGTGGCCGCATCTGTGGATATGATACGGCGCGATCATATCTGGCAGGCGGTCGGCCGTCACGGGCTGTCGGTGCTCCCGCGTGGTCCGCTCATCCCGCATGTGCTCCTTCAAAAACGACGCTGCGTCCGTGCTGAAGGCATGTGGATCTTCTGACTGCGCGGGGAGGAATTGAGAAGACAGAATTATCACTTGGTGAATTAACAAGGTGAAACATGATGATGGAAAAACATGTATAAACAAATCAATCAAGACCTGCCGAGAATTGGGACTGACGAAAACGATAGACAGGGAGGTCCTCCCTGATTGAATGCCGCAAACACAAGGATCGATAGCTGTAGGGAGCACAGATTCCTCACCTTATCCTTGCTGACCCTTGGGTCGGCTGAGTACTCCGCGCATGTGAGCGACGCCCGATTGACTTTCCCAAATCGCACAAACCGTCGCGCTCCAATAAAACAGCCAAATGGATGCGCTTCCCCACCCTGAGAAGCGGACCGGTGACCAGTCCAGGCCAGCCGCGAATCAAGTGCTCTCGTAAGCACCATCGTGCCGGCAAGATTCAATAAGGTCCAGGCCGCCTAAGTAAAAGTCTTATCCTCTGTGGAGACAGACACAGGAACGAATGAAATGACCGCTTCCCGAATGGAGCTTCAAGATTTTCCAGCAGCGACGTGAGGTGCCGCATCAACTTCGCTGAGCTGGTTGCTTTGCATTGCGCGCCGTACTCTGCGTTGGCGCGGCCTGAATACGCGCGACGGAACGCCATGAAGCAACAACAGACGACGAGTCCTGTCAAGACAAGAGGAGCCTAGGGATTGGGGAATCGGGAATGGAGACTGTGGTACCTGGATGTCGTTTTTGTCCAGATTCGTGTCATCGAAGCTCAGGCTGCGAGGCGTTATGAAGGGGTGTGATTTACTCAGAAATGTATTATAGTGCGGTGATATGCGATTCTGTGCCATGTCAGAGCCTTACATTTACAATCGGTAATTTCATGTAGGGTTGATGTAAAAATAATATTTTCATACCCCATATGACAAAGATGGAACCCCCAATCCATTATGTGGTGTGGCACAGAAGATGCCTTTGAGTGGCAAGCAATTTTTTGTTTGTGCAGCAATTGCGTAGAAGAAGCAATACCACTGGTTTGTCCCTCTGCAATCTCTAGCGCCAACGACGAGACAATGCTTCTTATCATAAATGCACTCGTACCTAGACATGAATCCACCTGCATGAACATTGCATATTTGTACATGATTTTGATACTGACCCACTAAAATGTAGATATTATTCCATTGTGAAAGAAAGGAGAGGGCTTCAAAGGTGTATGATCAGTGCCCCCTCGTCTGTGGTCCAGCAGTCTGATCTGAAGCTGCAACGTCATGCGAATGCTTCAAGCCACGAAAAGGACAGAACTCTGCTGTACAGCATCCTGGAGCCTGCCCACGAGCAATCATTCAGCCAAAACACTGTACCATTAAATCGAGTCAAATATAATACTTTGCGATAAGTGTCAAAGGTCTAGTACATTACCATGTCAGCAAGCCCTAGATGCGAAATTATCAACACCGACCACCACCTAAAAATTGTAAGGATGCAACGCGGAAGACCCAAGGTTTCCACAAGAACGAGACAGACAGCTGTAACGGTGACACAAAGACGTGTACTGAATCTGAGGCGCATTCCGGGATGTCGTGAACAAGAGCTTGGCAATTACGACCGGTTGAACGACTCCAGCCGACACTGAGCGACCTCTCTTGTTCACGACCCCGGGGGTAGCTTTTGAGAGTTTTAAAGGTGTCGGCCTGCCCTCATAACAGGGTCTTACAAGCTCGGAATGCGGCTTAATCCTCGCTGCGCATACCGCCAAGGGTCCTCGGTGGATAGAGTGGTGTTTACGACAAGCACGCAAGTTCGCAACGTGATTGGCGGAGCGTCCCTGACATGGACCAAACGGGAGACAAGTGACCGCGAGTCTCCCGAGTCTCGGCTCTCGGCCTGATGTGAGGCTTGTCGTCTTCGCGTCCTTGACAAGCCCAGTCGAGATGAAGGGAATCGAGTTCATGCGCTAGTGGCCGAGTGGGGGAGGCGATGTCGGAGGGCGGGCGGAGAGCTGGGCCTGCCAAAGGTTGTGCGGCGGAGAGAGATGGTGGGGTGCGCCGCGTAACCTTGTGCACAGTGCGAGGTGGGGCGGGGTGCGGGTGGGGGGGTGGGGGGGAGTTTTGGATGGATGGACGGGAAAGCCACACACGCACCCTAACTTGGTGCATCAACTCGCGCTCTGTACTGAATTTTACGAATTTCTGCCGTTTGGTTTCGAGGCTCCGCTCAACGCTTGTCCTTGAAGCGCGTTGATCTTCCAACCAACCCCATCGTTTCATCACGAGTTTTCGGACTCATCGCCGCATTCCGCGCGGAACATCGCCAGGGACCGTCGACCCCCTTTCCGTTGAGATATTCCGCGCGGACATTATTTCAGCGAGTTAGGACACCGTAATTCATCCGCAGACTTCGTCGCCGCAATTAACGGCGTGGAGCATGTCGGGAGAGAGGGACCTTCGCGAGAGGCTCAGGCCGCCTGGCAGCGGCAGCAGCAATAGTAACGACCTCGCTTCAAGCGGCAGATTTGTGAATTCTACCCAGCTCTTGTCACCGGGAGATTCCTCTCCGCCTCGCGATAGGCTCGCCTCGTCCGCGAATCCCGCTACTCTCGCATCTGACCTCGCCGCCTCCTCCTTCTCCTCCTCCTCCTTCTCCTTCTCCGCCCTCGCAGCTTCGAGTCGCAGCTCGCCGAACCTTTCAGCGCCCATCTTCGACGGCCGAGCCGCGTCGCCCGAACCCACCGCGAACGGCGCCGCGTTTATCGATGTCAACGGAGTCAACGGAATGAACGGCATTAAAGGGGAGTACGAAACCCAGGAATTGCTGACGAGCCACGCCCCTGCGGCGATAATGATGAATGGCGGACTCGAGTCGCGTGATAGGGGAACTCGCGCCGCAGGCCTTGCCGCAGCACCAACGCCGCCAGTGCTTCGGGAGGCATCAGAAATTGCCGTAGCGGCAATCGCGGCGGCGAAGGCGGTGCAGAGACGAACGCTGGAGTGCGCGATCGACGCCGTTGATGCGCTCACCGCCTGGTGCGGCGGAGCGAGCGGCGGGGGAATTAGCGGAGGCGGAGCGGCTGGGGGAAGCGGGGCAGGGACAATGGGCGGGGCGCTGATGCGGCGCGGAAGGGGGGCCGGGGGCGGAGGCGCAAGCGGGTTGTGGGGAGGCGGAGACCCGCTAAAGGGGAGTCGGAAGATGTGGGTTGCGGGGCTGATGGTGGTTGCGCTCATCAGCCTCCTGGTGCGACTGGGGGGGAGGGGGAAGGGGGAAGGTGGGGGGGGGGGGTAATGGGGGGAAAATTGGGGCTGGGAAGAGGGTGGGGGGAAGGCTGTGATTGGGAAAGGGTCATTGGGGGGAGGGGTGAGAGGGTAGAGCAGGGGGAGTATGTTGGGTGGAAGAAGTCAGGGAAGGGAAGGGGGGTTGTGGGGGGAGTTGGAGTGGTAGGTAGGGGTAAGGGATAGCGAAGAGTGGAAGGGGAACGAGCGCGCACTTAAACCCCTCCCCGCGCACCCAAACCCTTCCGTTGTCAAGCTCTCAGTCTCCGCAGTCTCGCCTTTTCTTCCCCCTCGCTTTCCCCCGATCCCCCCATTTCCCCCTCCTTCCCCTTCCCGCCATCCCCCTCGTCCCCTCGCCTCTCGCTCGTACTCGTCCCTCTGCCTGTACCGCATTTCACCTGCCTCTACCGCATTCCACCTGTCCCCCCCCCCCCCCCTTGGCGCCACCAGAACACGTCACACATGAGGGACTTTAAGAAGGATGACGTGGCGCCTTTTGTTACAAGGTAACCCGTGCCTCCGCGCTTTGCACCTTCTCTTTATCCCTTGGCACACCACACCACACCACACCACACAATCAAGCTGATTTTTTAGAATTCTAAAAAACCAGCTACAATCAACCTCAATATCACACCTGCTATCCGCCTGCCCGCCTAACGCCCTCCTCTCTTCCCCTCCCCTCTCTCCCTCCACTCCCCCCCTTCGCTTTCGCCCTCCCCTCTCCCCCTTCCCTCTCTCCCCATTTTCCCCTCTTCCCCTCTTGTCTTCCCCACATCCCCCACCCCGCGTCCCCGCTTCCGCCAGCCTGGCGAGCAGCGAGGCGCAGCTGGCGCAGCAGGTGCGCGCGCAGGCGGGCGCGGTGTCGGAGCTGGCGGAGCGCGCGCAGCAGCAGGTGCAGCTGCTCGGCGCGCTGCTGAAGCGCACGGAGGCGCTCGAGGGCGCGCTGGGGCGCCTGGCGGACGGGCGCGAGCGGGAGGTGGTGGCGCGGGAGATTGGCGCGCTGGGGGGCGGGGGAGGGGGCGGGGGAGGGGGAGCGGGAGGGGGAGGGGGAGGCGGAGGCGGAGGGGGAGTGGGAGAGGGAGGGGGTGGGGGAGGGGGAGCAGGGGAAGGTGAGAGAAGGCAATTGGTGGTGGAGGCCGGGGAGATAGCGGCGCAAGCAGGGAAGATGGGGCGGCAGGCAGGCCGACAGGTGAGATAAGATGGGGCGATGCCAGTCCGCAAGAGGAATGGAGAGGGGTGGGGTGCGGTTGGAAGGGCGACATGAGGCATGGAGAGGAGAGGGGGTGGGTGAGAAGGCTTTCTGTTTGTAGAAACGATACATGTAGTGTGCATGCAGGGCAAGAGGCATTGAGTGAGTTGTTCCGGGGGCGCTGTGAGATGGCATGGAGTTTTGTTGCTATAGAGAGAAACAAGGAGAGCCATAAGAGGGACGAGACATGCGATACGAGGTTGACGCCAGGTGGGTGGGGCATCTTGAGGAGAGCAGCTTTTTCTGAGAAGCAATGCAGCAGATTGTTTTGACAGCTTCGCCTTTTCTGAGAAGAACCGAGAACGAGCATATTCTACACAAGAAACTATCAGGTTTCCGGGTTACCAGTCAGAAGCGAGGGACTTCAGCTTGAGGCAGTGCGTCGAGTCGAGGATGGCGGGCTGAGAGGCGAGCATGGGGTGCGCTGAGTGCATGGAATGGAATGGGGTGCGCTGAGTGCATGGAATGGAGTGGCAGGCGTGCAGAGCATGGGGTGCAAGCATGACTCCTCCCTACTGCTCCGTTATAAGCTTGCTGCACAATCGTCCCCCCCTCCGCACCCACCTCCCCCCTCTCTCTGTCCTCCTTTTCACTCATCTCTACCATTTCCACCCACTCCCCCCCCTCCCTCTCCCCCTTTCCATCCATCTAACCCCATTTCCCCCCAATTTCCCCTACCTCCTCCCATCTCCCCCTGTGGGACCCCCTCGCACCCCGCAGTTACGGCTGCAGCGGGCGATCATAGATGGGCTTAAGGCGCGCGTGCAGCAGCTGCAACAGGACGTTGCTGCTGCCCGTGCTGCCCCCGTCACCACTGCTGCCACCGCCCAACTTCCCCTTATCTCCCCTCTCTCTCCTTTCCCTTTCGCCCATCTCTTGCAGGAGGAGGTTGCTTCTGCCCGTGCCACCGGCACCACCACTGCCATGCACAACCCCCTTTTTCCCCCTATCCCCCCTCTCTCTCCCCCTCTCTTTTGCTCCCCGCAGTTACGGCTGCAGCGGGCGATCATAGATGGGCTCAAGGCGCGCGTGCAGCAGCTGCAACAGGAGGTTGCTGCTGCCCACGCTTCCCATGCCAGCACCGCCTCTACTGCCACTGTTTCCACTGCTTCCCGCACCACTAGTGCTGCTACTGAGGGTAGAGCAGCGGGGACAAGGGGGGAGCAGCAGCAGCAGCAGCAGCAGAAGCAGCAGGAAGGGGAGGAGCATGGGAAGGGGGAAGCGGAGGGGCAGGGGGAGGGGGAAGGGAAGGAGCAGGAGCAGGAGGGTCGTGGGGAGGAGGAGTCACAGCGGCAGCAGCAGGAGGAAGGGGGGCAGGGACACCAGGAGGGGGGACAAGGGCAGCAGGAGCAGGATGGAGGTGCGGGAGGGGAGGAGCAGAGAGGGGTAAAGGAGGAGGGAGGCATGGTTAGAGAGGCCCGGGGTGAAGACTTGGAGCTGATTGGACGAGACGAAGGTGAGGAGGAGGAGGAATAGGTTTGGCTGTGGGGATTTGTGGGAGCATTTGAGTCACCTAAGAACAAACAAGTTGCTTGCATTTTGATGGGTTGGTCAGTAGTTGTATTTTGTTTTGCTTCTCCCCTTGTTCTTTAAAATAACTTGCCTTTTCCCCTTCATGTGCGGTGTGCGTGGGTGTGGGTGTGGGTGTGTGTGTGGGCGCGTGTGTGTGTGTGTGTGTGTGTGTGTGTGTGCGCGCGCGCATGTGCACATGTGCATGGGTGCATGGGTGCATGTGTGCATGGGTGAATGGTGGCATATCTCAGAATACACACCATTCCGAGAGTACTCTACACCATCAGGCTACAAGTTTGTTCGCTTCAGGTATGCTCCACTCCTCTCCACTCCATTCCACTCTAACTCTAATCACCACCTAGTGAAGCCCCTCAAGAGCAGCCTCCTCTCACTCGTTTCAACTATACTCTAGCACTCCGATGAGCTCCACCGCTCCCAATCTCATTGCACTCCTCATGTCATCATGTCTCATCCCTCCCTCCCCTCCCAGCCCACCCCATCCCACCCCATTACTCCCTTCCCATCCCGTCCCAACCCGTTATTCACATTCCCATCCCATCCCATCCCATCCCATCCCATCCCATTTCACCAGAACACGTATAGCCACCCTCCTCCCTCTCTCTCCGCCCCTCAGCACACCACAACTCCCCCAACAGCCTAGTTCCATCTTTCACCTTCTACCCCCTTCTTACCCTTCGCACCCCCCTCCCCTCCCTCCCCCCTTCTCCCACCCTCCTCCACTCGCCAGTGCACATCGCATCTCCCCAACAGCCTTTGCAGCAGTGGGCGTGGCCCCTCTGTCTGCACGCCACCTCTCCCAGCCCCTCTCCCACTGCGTGTACGTGCCGTGCCCCCAGCCTCCCTTCCCCTTCTCCCCCCTCCCCACTCCCCTCTTTTGCCTCCTCTCTCTCCCCCTCAATCCCCCCTTCGCTCCCCCTCACACACACCCTATCGCGCTCCCCCTCACACACACCCTATCGCGCTCCCCCTCACACACACCCTATCGCGCTCCCCCTCACACACACCCTATCGCGCTCCCCCTCACACACACCCTATCGCGCTCCCCCTCACACACACCCTATCGCGCTCCCCCTCACACACACCCTATCGCGCTCCCCCTCACACACACCCTATCGCGCTCCCCCTCACACACACCCTATCGCGCTCCCCCTCACACACACCCTATCGCGCTCCCCCTCACACACACCCTATCGCGCTCCCCCTCACACACACCCTATCGCGCTCCCCCTCACACACACCCTATCGCGCTCCCTGCCTCGCTCCCTGCCTCGCTCCCTGCCTCGCTCCCTGCCTCGCTCCCTGCCTCGCTCCCTGCCTCGCTCCCTGCCTCGCTCCCTGCCTCGCTCCCTGCCTCGCTCCCTCCCTCAGCCACTGCATTGTGTACCCCCCTTCCTCCGTGTCCGCGCCACCTCGAGGTGACTTTTGAGTCGACTCAAAAGGCACCTCACTGCAGTGTGTGGCCCCCTTCCACCATGTCCCCGCCACCTCCTCTCCTTCTACCATGTCCCCGCCACCTCCTCTCCTTCTACCATGTCCCCGCCACCTCCTCTCCTTCTACCATGTCCCCGCCACCTCCTCTCCCACTCTCCCCACCCTCGTTCCCCTGACTCCTACTCACTCCCTCGCATTCACTCCCTCTCAATCACACTCGTTCCCTCTTCCTTTCCATAGCTCTCCCCCACTCTCCCCCACTCCCTCAACCTCCCACTCGTTTCCCCTTCCCCCATTCTCCCCCCATTCTCCCCCCATTCTCCCCCCCTGTTCCCCCTCTCCGCAGCTGGCTGCCCCCAGATGGTTCCCCCCTCGCCCCAGTGAGGGGAGCCGTCTCAACGGTATTCCCCTCACACCCCCCGGAGGCCCCCATGGAAACAGTGGTGCTGCGCTGCTCCTTTGCCCCACCTGCTGCGCCTGGGGAGGGGGAGAAGCAACGGGGGGAGGGGGAGGGGGCGCTGCCGTTGGGGGGCAGGGTGGCAGCGGTTATGGCGGGAGGCATGACTGTTCCCCTCATCAGGTGCGTGGTGGTGTGCGGTGGTGGGCGGTGGTGTGGTGTGTGATGGTTCGTCTTTTTCCTTCGTTTGTCTCCTCTCTTTCCCGTCTCTACTCGATTATCTCGCCTCCTTGCCTACCCCCCTCCTCTCTGCCCATCCTCCACTCGTCCTCTCCTTTCCTTCTCTTCCCCCACCTCTGTCTCAGCTACCTCTTCTCCTCTACCTCCAGACCAGATACCAACCTCACACATCCATTTTCCACCACTCACTCCCTCGAACTTTCTCAAAAATGACTCTCCATTGCATCATCCCTTCCACCATCTCGCCCATCCCATCCCCATAACACACCAGGGAGCAACACCTCTTCGACAAATCACCACCCACCACCACCACCACCTTTCCGCCGCCCTTCCCATCCCACCTCACCCTCTGTCTCCCCCCGCTCCACGGCCCGTCCATCTCCCCGCGCGCCCTCCTCGAGTTCCTCTCATACCACCGCCTCATCGGCATCACCTCCTTCCTGCTCTACAACGCGGGGGGCGCCACCGACCCCGTGCGGGCCGTGATCCACGCCCAGGCAGAGCAAGGCAGGGTGGAGACAGGCCAAGGCACGGCCCAGGCAGGGCAAGGCAGGGCGGAGCTGGTGGAGATGGCAGGGCTGTTGGAGCGGGAGCAGCTGTGGAACCACGGGCAGGTGCCGGCGCTGCACGACTGCTTGTATCGGTCCCGCATGGCGGCGCGCTGGGTGCTCTATCTTGACTTGGATGACTACCTCTGGCTGCCGCCTGTTACTGAGCCCCGGCCGCTCCCGCCCTTGCACATACTGTTAGAGACCTATGATGCTGGTAACTCGGTAACTGCTGGTTCTGGTTTGGCTGGCAGAACCGGCGGCGACGGCAGCGGCAGGGATAGTGGGGTGGTTGCAGCAGCGGGGGATACGAGCCTTAGCGGTTGGGGCGACGGCAGCAGCAGTAGCAGCACGGGCGGCAGCAGGGGTGGCAGCAGCAGCACGGTGGCTGGCATAACGTTCGGCTCGTTGTGGTTCTCCATCCACTTGTGCCGCCCGCGTGCCGACCACGAGATCGAAGTGCTTGGCTTGCCCGACCCCAGCGCACCCGGCATGGCAGCAGGGGGAGACACGGCGACAGCAGGAGGGGTGGACGCAGGGGGGGGGCGGTTGTGGAGAGGCGGGGTGGTGCGGGATAAGAAGGTACCCAAGGAGTCGCAGTGGGGGGGGGAGAGGGAGGGCGAGATGCAGGTGGAGCGGTTTGTGTTCCACTGGCCGGAGCCGGCATGCCATGACAATGAGAAGGACGGCGAGAGGATTTTCGACCCGTCTCTGTGCCCGGGGGAGCAGGGCCACCGGAAATTTATTGTTGACCCGCGAAGAGTGAGTGCCTTTTTCTGTCTGCTCTGCTCTACCCCACCCACCCTACGCCCATTGGAAATGCCTGGAAGGGGGAGCGGGGAAACCACAAGTTCATTGGCGGGTGAGTGCTGCCCCTGCTCTGCGTTACCAAACCTCATCTTGCATTCTTGAATCTGGGGAAGGGTGCGCGCCCCTTGACTCTGCTGCTCCCTCCATGTATGAGCCGCTCTATCTACTATTCCTCAAATGCGTAAGTCCCCTTTTTCCACCCCTCTCTCAGTTCCCCACCCTCTGTCCCCTCACAGGTGGACAGCATGGGAGTGTTTGGCCCGATCCCCTCCCACCCCACCTACCCACGCATGGCACACCTCAGCACGAGTGACCTGCAGCTGCTGCACTACAGGGAGCTGGGTTCGGGCACACAGCAGGGCGTGTGGTGAGACTCATTTTCCCCCCTCCTTTGCTCCCTTTCCCTCCCCTCCTCCCTCCCTCCTTCCCTCACCTCCCCACTGCAACCAGGTGGACAGCATGGGAGTGTTTGGCCCGATCCCCTCCCACCCCACGTATTCACGCATGGCACACGTCAGCACGAGCGACCTGCAGCTGCTGCACTACAGGGAGCTGGGGTCGGGCACGGCGCAGGGCGTGTGTGACGAGCCCACTCCCCGCTGGCGCACCGTGGGGTGGTGGCACACCGATGCTTCCTATGCGCGCTCCATTGCTGCCTTGAGACAACGAGCGCAATGCAACTTCACCAGTGGAGGGGTGAGTTGGGCTTGAGGGAAAGACAGTGTGCTGTGGGGTGGTGTGCGGTGAGGCATGGTGGGGTACGGTAGGGGTGGTGGCACAGCAACGCCAGATATGCCAGTCGATTGCGGCCCTAAGGCAACAAGCAGAGACGAGTGGGTTGATTGCCACCAAAACATCCCTCACTTCTCTGCTCTCATCCGCCCTCCCTGTGCTTCCCACCTCTGCCCTCCGCACCTCCTCCATGCAGTGCCCAGCCTCGCCATACACGTGATGCAGCGGTTGAGGCACCTCAAAAGACAAGGCTCGCCTCTAAAGGCAAGGCCCACAACAACACATGTGTCCTGCACATCCTATCACCAATACTCTCCCACCACATAGTCATCGTCCCTCTGAACCTTCCAGGTTTCCCATACCTCCAGACCTTCTCCAGACCTCCAGACCTTCTCCAGACCTCCAGACCTTCTCCAGACCTTCTCCAGACCTCCAGACCTTCTCCAGACCTCCAGACCTTCTCCAGACCTCCAGACCTTCTCCAGACCTCCAGACCTTCTCCATACCTCCAGACCTTCTCCAGACCTCCAGACCTTCTCCAGACCTCCAGACCTTCTCCAGACATCCAGACCTTCTCCAGACCTCCAGACCTTCTCCAGACATTCAGACCTCCAAGCCGTGCTCACACATTCGCACATGGGTTCCATGAAAGACTTGGGGCCCGTCAAAGAGAAACCTGTGGGCTTTTGGACCCGAGGGCAGGGTCTCACTGCAACCAACCTCGCCGTAATGCTCGTAAAAGTCTAACGCTACTGACTGAAACTGGGTTATAATAGCATGCACAAGCTAAGGTTGTTTTGTGTTGTACCTTGGTTAGTGCATATTTCGTGATCCCTGAATACGGTATGTTCAGGTGCAGCACACATAAAGGTGCATATTTCGTGATCCCTGAGGCCACAGCACACAACCTATTCCAGCACATAAAGACCCTTGTGCAACTTGGGGTGTAATGGCCACCTCACAAAAGCACATTAGGCCGGTTTGCCTCTGATAAACTACTTTCCCTGGACTTCAGAACACCCGAGTTCCACTCAACCATGACAAATCAAATGCCTATAATGAATCAAAACAAAACCATATGGCAACCACTTTCTCAACCCCGCAGCGGAGTGTCATCCTTCCGACACGCTAAGAGCATCAATGTAACAACTAGGGCGATTCAGGAATTAGGACGTATCTACAGCGACCATCCAAAGGTCGAGCGTGCTACGCGGGGGAGAACGCTGCTCCCCGCGCACGAGGCCTGTACAAACCCGGGGAATATTTCGTCGCGCAACGGAAGAATTTTCGCACGTGAGATGGCAGTTGCGGAACGGAAGCGCGCGCCGCGGAAAAGTTATGGGCGGCGGAAGGGAAGTGGCGGCGGAATGGAGGGGGTGGGGCGGCGGAATGGACGGGGGGCCGGCCTGGAACGTGGGCGCTCAGACGGCGGTGGCGGAGGGCGCGTCGGCGAGTCGCTTGAGCAAGGCGCGCTGCGATCGGTCGTCCGCCACTCCATTCACCTCCTCCCACCCGCTCAGAATCTGCAACGGAGCGGCCGTGACGGGCGCAGGGAGGGACGCGATGGGTTGAAAAACTATTACCTTCTCAGATAATGCTCTGCGGCTCGACCATGATGGATTGGCTGCTGTGATCTCTACGCCTCTCGCAATCACGACCGTCAGTTACAATTTCGGGCGTTTCGTGCTTACCATTCTCGTTCAAACGCCGCGCTTTGTACAAACCAAACGACGCACATCAGCGAGACATCTGCGAAAGGTATGCGACGCACCTTGAGGTACTCTGCGATCGGCATGCGACGATACTCCATCCCCGACCAGCCGCTCATTGATGACGCGACGTTGCTTCCTTGCGACCTGGGGGTAAGTGGGTGTGGGGGGGGAGGAGGGGGGGGGGGGGGGCGGCAAAGGGAGTTTGTGTGAAATGAAAATACGGGGCAAAGTTACGAGCTTGTATTCCTCTTAATGCGACGAGCGCGAAAAACAGTGTGACTTGAACTTTGAGACGAATCCTGCGTACGTGACGAGTGCAAGGCGGCCCTTTCTTACTCACCTAGTCTCGGAACCGCCTGCGAAGGTGTCAGCGAGGAAATAGCTGGTCAACGCGGCTCCTACAGTGATCGCGACGGGCGTCGCGGCTTGCTGCAGGTTCGCGACGAGGGGAGGGAAGAGCAGAAAAGGGCAAGAGAAAACTTATATGAGAGGGAAGGGGAGCTCTAGAAGGGAGGTATAACACGTGTGCGGAGAAGGCCATGGAGAAAGGATGCGGCAATACACGCGGATGACGGAGAGATTAACACAGGTCAACGGAGAACTCACTAAGAAACCTACTCGAAAGGCGGCGATAGGGAACATGGTGATGCCGCGACTTGGGAGAACGGGCGACTGGAGTAGAGGCTGCGTTAGAATCAGGATTCAACGGCGAGGAGAGTCTGGTGGCAGCCTTATGATGCATGCGAGGGACGAAAAATAGGCGAGAGCCGGGCGCTAGCTTCCCCTCGAGGGGCGCCAATCTCTGTGCACTAGAGTCGTGCCATTCCCCCACGGGATGGATGATGGTTTGGTTGGCATTGCTGCGAATCTTACAGCGGAGCATGCGCTGTGTATGTGCTGGCGTCCAGCAAGGCAGAGCACGTTCTGTGAGAGGACGAAACTGACGTGGATTAAGACCTCGACACGTTTGCCAGATCGTAGCAGCACAAACGAGAAGGGAAGCATTTCTTCTCGAAACATAAGTTTCTGTAGTGGTGTATGTCTCTGTCCTTATAATGTGCGAAGACAAATACATATAATACATATGATACATATGAGTTATTTGTAACTAGCCCACGTGACTAGCCCATATGAGTTATTTGTAACTAGCCCATATGTAACAAATACATATAATACATATGAAAAATATGAAACATATGAGTTATAATAAATATGATGCATATGATACATAGAGACCAATAATGTGCGAAGTCCAATACATATAATACATATGAGTTATTTGTAACTTCATCTGTTTTACTGTTATAAGTTGTGAAAGGAAAGAGTGCGCAGAAGTCAATAGTGCGGAAGTCATTACAACGTCTCAATGAACAACGAGGCCTAGGCATAATATAGCAAGGTTAGCTAGGCCGAGGTCGCGGGGTCGCGGGATGGTTGGGTGTAGGTTCGGGGTTGGAAAACCCGAAAGCGACGCGGTGGTGGCTCGGAAGGCGAGGTCGGCGGGCCGAGCCTGGTTTTCCGAAAGTCGGAGTTGTACGCGTACAGTATGACCCAGTAAGGAATCTGGAAAATTCCTAACACTACCCCCCCCCCCCCCCCCCCCCCCCCCCCCCCCCTTTAAGAAAGGTGGTGAATATCCGAAACACCTCGGCGGGCGAGGTAAGCGTCCAAAACCAGGTGTCCCAGAAGCGAGTCAGCAGCGACATACGTGTCGTCCTCGCTCGTGCGGTCTTTCCAGCGAAGCAGCAATTTCACTGAGCGGCCGGTAGCAGTCACTTCCACGCGATGGTTGAGAATTTTCCAGGGTTCCAGCGTGGGCTCTGCCACGGGGCGAGTGGTCGGCGCGAGGGTCGGTCGAGCACAGCTGGCGACTGCGGCTGTTCGTAGTGACGCAACAGGCTGACGTGGAAGGCGTCATGTATCTTCCAATCGTCGGGCAGCAGCAGCTTCGCGGTGACAGGTGTCACCATCTTGATGATCCGAAAAGGTCCCACGTAGCGGGGCCGTAATTTCGCGGGCTGCGGCAGCCGAAGGTTCTTGGTGTCCAGAAGTACAACCTGCCCCGGGCGGAAGGGTAAATTCCGTCGGTGTTTGTCCGCCTGACGACTGGCCGTGGTATTAGCCTTGCGAATGAACTCGGCTGCTTTCGTTCGGGCGGTTTGTAGTTCCGTGACAAACTGCTGCGATCTTGGTACTGGGTTGTCCACAGTCGTGGAAGAGGGTACCACGGGGTCTATCCCGTAATTAAGGAAAAAGGGTGATTGTTTAGTCGTGGCCGATGGGGCGTTGTTGTACGCGAATTCCAGCATCGGCAACGAATCTTCCCACCTGCGAATGTCGGGGCAGTTGGTGCGAATCAGCTGCTCCATGGTCTGATTTGTCCGTTCCGTCTGTCCGTCGGTCTGCGGGTGGTATGACGACGAAAACTGCAGGCGGGTACCGTACTGTGCCCACGTTTCCTGCCAGAACTTCGACGTAAATTTCGGATCACGATCGCTGATGATCGCCGAAGGTAACCCGTGTAGGCGTACGACGGTGGAGATGAACAGTTTGGCTGTATCTTCGGCTATGATCATCGTTCGGCAAAGGGCGAAATGCGTTATCTTCGTTAGGCGATCGACGATGACTAGCACCGAGTCGTTGCCACTTGCGCCAGCTGGGAGCCTCGTGACGAAATCCATCGTCACCTGTTGCCACGGTCGTTCGGGGGGCGCGAGGGGTTGCAGCAGTCCGGCTGGCCTTTATCGCGACGACTGTTGAGAATAGAACGAGAATGAATGAACTATGAATGAAGTGAGTACAAATAGGAAACCCTAACTGGGTTGTACCCCCTATGGGATACCCCACTACAGCCTACACAATAGTATAAGCTATATATAAGTTCTGACAACGACTTCATTGCTTGGCAGGTCGGGCAAGTTGACACATAGCGCTGTACATCGGTCTGCATGTCCGGCCAGTAATAATTCCGCTGCAGCAGCTTCAGTGTTTTATCGGTGCCGAAATGCCCGGAAAGGTTGGAGTTATGAACCTCCTGCGTCAGCAGCTCTCGTGAAGGCTGGTATGTTGGTACCCAAATCCGGTTCGTACCGGCTTTTAGGTAGTATTTGCCGTGCGGTGTAGCAGCCTGTTGTTGCGGGTTCCGAAAAAACCTGTCGATCTTGTAGCCGTGGGTGAATAGTCCCGTCAGCATCGGGTTAGTGTGGGCGATTAGTACCGCCGCGTTTTGCATGGTTGGTCGGGTAAGGGCGTCGGCGATGTTGTTGG